AATATATATATAATAATTATAAAAATTTTACTTTAATTTTAACTTATTTTTATATTAATTTGTATAATAATAATATGTTAAATAACACATAAACATATGCACACAGAAATGTAAAGTTCATTTTTTTGTGTTCTGACTTTTCTGAAATTCTCGTTTTTTTGCGATAAAGTTCTGTAGTTTCATTTGTTGCTTTTTTCTTTCCTTAAGCAAATATCTATAAGGAGATCGCATCCAAAATGCCACATTTTGCTTTTGCACTTCTTTCAAAGTCTGGATCATTCGCTACAATTTGATCAATGATTTTGGTTATCTTACCAAACTTTTACTAAAAAAATCTGTAGAGAAATTCTTTGGGTTTTTCATTTTCAGAATCTCTATTTTCCACTTCCACATGAATTCCATGTTCAGCCAGTTCTTGAAGGTCATCATTGCTAAGGCTTTCACCAGAAACCTGCGGTAACTCCTCAATATTCAGTTATTCTACATCTCCTAGTCCTGCTGTATTGATTAGGTTGAGTTTGATCAACCTAATGATACAGCGATAAGCTCTTCTCATTGAGAATTCTTGGATACCTTCAGCCATAACTTCTTCCACACTCTGTTCATGGCTTTATCAGTTAATTCTTGCCAAGCAAAGTTGATATTTCCTATGGCATCCATAATGTTATATTTTTTCCAAAATTGCACCAAACATAGATTTAAGGGAAGTACTGTACAGTGCTACAACAAATTGTCACCTTCTGCTAATTGGTTCAAGTTCATAAATAATCGTATTATATGTGAATCAATGAAATGCCAGAGTAAATTTGAGCTTTTTTTTAAAGCTTTGAGTAGACTGTTTTATCGAATCAGCATTAATTAAGGTAGCATTAAATAAAGTAGGGTCTTACTGTATATCACAACAATGACTAATGTCTTAGGAATCACTATGAAAGAAAAGAATAATAAAAAATTAATGAAAATTTAAAAAATAAAATTTAATCTTCCAATGCATAAAGTATAAGGTCAGTCCATAAGTTCATGCCTATTTTATGACCTTGAGAAAAATCATGTTTTGCTGCTAAAATTGTCAGTCTAATGTGATACTTTTTACACTGAAGTGTTAAATTGGATCTCATTCATACAATACTGTTCAGAATTGGGAACATTTCAGTTGTTTATTTTTGTTAAAATGGAAGTAACAGATGAATATAAGAGACATGTTTTATACCTTTTATTTTTAAGTGGTGAAAATGCTACAAATGCAGCCAAAAAATTAAATACTGTTCATAGTCAAACTGTAATTAGTGTAAGGACTGTGCAGAAGTGGTTTGAAAGATTTAGAAATAATGATTTTAGTGTGGAGGATAAGGCTCGTACTGAAAGACCCATTGACTTTGATGATGATACTCTCTCTGAACCATCCATGAAGCAGAACCATCTTTAACAGTTGATGAAATTGCAGAACGTTTAAATTCATCCCATGGAACTGTTCATAGACATCTACAACAAATCGGAAAAGTTTCAAAGCTAGGAAAATGGATACCACACGAACTATCAATAGCTAACCGACAACAACGTGTAAACATTTGCAGTCTCTTTTATCTCGTATTACTTTAGAACCTTTTCTTGATCGGCTGGTTACTGGAGACGAAAAATGGATCCTCTATAATAATGTGACAAGAAAAAGACAATGGACAGAGCACGACAAGCAGCCAAAGCCTGCTGCAAAAGGTGGGTTGCATCCAAAAAAATTCTTTTGTCTGTTTGGTGGGATATGTCAAGTGTAATTCACTTTGAGCTGTTAGAACCTAATCAAACAATTACAGCTCAAATGTATTGTGATCAATTAGAGCGTTTAAATGAAAAATTGAAAAAAAATCGAACATCATTAGTGAACAGAAAGCAGGTTCTCTTGCAACATGACAATGCCAGACCACATGCTGCAAAAATAACTGTAGAGAAACTCAAAAGCTTCAACTGGGAAATTTTACCTCATCCACCATATTTGCCAGATATTGCTCCCAGTGATTATCATCTT